GGGCAATCTACTTCTGTAGTGATACTGCCTCTGAAACCCAAGGAGGGGTCGCTATGAGTCAGATCCGACTCGGCAGCACACAACAACAACAACAAGGAAACTAAGGTGTAGTTTTTCTTATGTCTGCCTTCTTTCTCTTGTAAGTCATGGTGGCACAGTGGTTAAGCACTCAGCTGTTAACTGATGGGTCAGCGGAACCTGTCATCTGCTCCGTGGCAGAAAGACAAGGCAGTTGGCTTCCACAAAGATTGACAGCCTTGGAAACCCTACAGGAGCTCTGGTGGCACAGCACTTAAGGCATTTGACTGCTAACTAGAAGGGTAATGGTTCAAGCCCACCAGCCACTCCTCAGAAGGAAGGTTGGGCAATCTACTTCTGTAGTGATACCACCTCGGAAACCCAAGGAGGAGTCGCTGTGAGTCAGATCTGACTCAGTGGTAGTGAGTTTGGTTTTTGGTTTTTTGGAAACCTTGTGGGGCAGTTCTACTCTGTCCTCTAGGGGTGCTATGAGTTGCAATTGACTGACAGCAATGGGTTATGGGGTCTTTCTCTCAGGATGATGTTTTTGAGATGGTGTTGTGTGTATCGGTAGTTTGTTTCATTTTATCGCTGAGTTGTATTTCTTAGCCTGCTTTTGACATTGTCCATTCAATCTATGAAGGACATTTGGATTGTGTTTAGTTTTTAGCTAGTATGAACAGAAGTGTGGACATATTTTTACTTGTTTTGGGGAAATAGATAGGAGTGGAATTGTCTGGGTTATTGGTAGGTGCATGTTTAATTTAACAAACTGGCAGGTGGTTTTCAAAGTGGCCATACCAGTTTGTGTTCCCACCACTGCGTGTGAGAATTGTGAGAATTGTTGTTGGTGTAACCAGGCTTTTTCCTCTTAGCCATTGTAATGAATGTGTAACAGTATCTTGTAGATTGAACTGTATCCCCCAAAATGTGTGCTGTGACTCCTCACCTTGATGCCTGTGGTTCTAATCCTATAGGGGAGTGTGTGGTCTTTGTTAAGTTAATGAGGCAGGATTAGTACAGGGTGGTCTTGAGTCAATCTCCGTTGACAGAAGAGAGATTAAATGTAAACTACAAGCAGAGGTGACCCCATGAGGGTCACCGGGGACAGACACTCA